TCTCCAGTCTCGAGCTCTTTCGTTCTTTCTGCCTGTTCTTCTGCAAGATTCTCCGATCCTTGAGAGAAGGGTATCATTCCCTCTCTAAGTTGTTTTGACTAGTTACTTGCCACACCAACAATAAAGGTAACTAGCACCTACAGCCACATACATAATATTTATCCTTTTATATCTGGTTTATCTTACTCAATTGGTTTCAAAGTTCATCTATGTAGTAACATGTTTCATCCTAACAGCTTTGTGATGGATAATATTCCATTGAATAGATAACCAAATTCTGATGAGTAGTATCTGAGTTTATTTCACATTTTATAATTAATTGCAACGAATATACCACTTCCTGTCCCTGCTTTCAATTTATTTGTCGGTAAGATGAGGAGTGGAACTTGCAGGTTAGATGATAAATCTTTGCTTTTATATTTGCTTCACAAAATTGTTATAAAGATTAAAAGATGCTCTACATAAAGCACATATCACAGTATCTGTCATATATGTTCAATAGAATCTAGTTGAGGAGACACAAAATTTATTTCCTTAATATTTCCTGACTATGACCCAAACAAGGATTAAATGATCTTGCAATAGCCAGAATCTTGTGGCCAAGCAGGAGAAACAGAATGGCTTTGATTCATTGATTAATCACAAAAGAGATAGCCAAGGTGTATATACAGCCACCATTGTGTCAACTCAGCTCATTCTATGCACTAATTGTAGAAGCAATCCCAATGGTTCTCATTCCTTACCTCATAACTTGGTGGTGTGGTCGGAGCTGCTTGGCTCCCTGGGATCATAGGGTAGTACTTGCAGCTTCTTGTCTAAGAAAGCAGACTTTCCCAATGTTATAACAGATACAAGTTGTACTATCAAAATTACTTTAATAGAAATCTTGGGGAGGAAGACTGGAATTTAAGGAGGCAAGAAGCAGGTAAGTAGAGAGAAAGCAGATATACTCTTAGACGCCTCAGGGAATCCCTCTTTTTCGTACAAAATCTTATTGAGGACTTCCCATGCTTTTTTACAACTGCTTGGACAGTGTCCATCCTAGGAGAAACTGGCATCAACCTCCCTATCACATACTGACAAAGAGCTCCATCCAACATGCTCCCTATGCATAGGTGAGTCATTAAGAAGTAGAGAGCCTTTCTTGGCATGAATCCTCATAGTTATCCATTATCCACCTGTGTATCTATCTCTCCAGGTTAATGAGGCTTGCCGAACACTGTGTATCAGACCCATTTATCTGTATGCAGCTCCTCCCCGTGTTTTGAGCCTGACCCAGATGGCACAGTTGTGCTGGACTTCATGGCTCCCCAGCAGTTACTGCCATCATTCTTCTATGAATGAACACTACTCAAAAAATAGGTTAATAAGCAACAGTGCTGTTGAAATGTCAGGGGGAGGGCAGCTATTACCTCTCCCAGGTTGCTCCAGCCTTTAGACACCTGTGAAAATCTGTGACTTTGATGCCCAGGACATTCAGCTGCTGTTTCTATGTGTCTACCAATAGTTTACATATTTCTTCTCCTGACTGTCTCTTTCTACCTCCTTTGGTGACTCAGTACCCTCATGATCAGTCCCTTACTTCCTTGTTTGCTTAGACTATCTATCTATCTATCTATCTATCTATCTATCTATCTATCTATCTATCTGTCTGTCTATATCTATCATCTCTCTATCATATCTCTGTCTCTCTGTCTCTGACTATCTCTCTATTTCTCTTTGTCTCCCTCTCTTTCTATCTCTCTGTCTTTGTCTCTCTATCTCTGTCTCCATCTCTCTGTGTGTCTGTCTCTATCTGTGTGTGTCTGTCTCTCTCTCTCTCTCTCTCTCTCTCTCTCTCTCTCTCTCTCTCTCTCTCTCTTTCTCTCTGAACTTTATTTCTCAAAAACAAGGGAAAACACAAAGTATTAAAATGATCCTCTAATAACTGTCTTGGAGTCCAGAATGACAATGACGACAAAATAATTGATATAAAAAGTTCAGGCAGTCCTCTCACTTGGTAGGCACACCCTGAAAACGTGTACCAACTGTTTGAGGTTCAGATGTCAAGTGCATCAGAGGTATGCTGTGTCCTATGGCCAGGAACTGGTTGCAGGTGTCTGGGACGACTTCACAAACACAAGGGACAATATTCCAAGTGAGTGTAGTTCAATCCATTATGTCACTTGTCCTGACAGGAATGTTAAATAAGAGAACCACCCCTGTTCAGAAACTCCCAATCTCCCCTTTTGAAGATGAACACCTGTGCAAGAGATGAAGTGGCACATGAGACTCACTGGGGATGGCAGGGGAAGGCCTGGTCACATGTCAAGAGACTTCAGGAGGCAATAGGAGCTGGGGATTTCCCTTGTCTTTGATATGGGATGTCATCCCTTAGTTTCTACCACTGAGTAGGACTGGGCAAAGCTAGGCCTGCTCATGCAACAAGCATTCCCTTTCTTTTTCATTTAATTATTTCTTTTGCATCCCAACTGCAGTTTCCCCTCCCTCCACCTCCCTCTGCCATCCCCACCCCTGCCCAATCCACTACCCCTCTGTTTCTGCTCAGAAAGGGACAAGCTTCCCATGGGTATCAACCAAGCATGGCATATCAAGTTCCAGTAAGCACATCCCCTTGTATTAAGGCTGGTCAAGGCAACCCAGTATTAGGAATAGGATCTCAAGAGCCAGCCAAAGTATTAGGGACAGCCCCTGCTCCAATAGTTAGGAGTTCCACAAGTAGACCCAGCTACACAACTGTCACATATATGTAGAGGCCATAGATCAGTCCCAGGCAGGCCCCCTGGTTGTTGGTTCAGACTCTGTGACCTCCTGTGAGACAGGCTAGTTGTTTCAGTGGGTTTTCTTGTGTTGTTCTTGATTTCTCTGGCTCCTACAAGCCAGAGGAAGGATTATTCTCATTCTAAGAGACTGGAATGCTGCATTGAGGAGATAACTCAGTGGTAGAGCCTTTATCCAGCTTCCAAGAGGTCCCATATTGAATGCCAGTAGCAGAAGCATAGACTCATACATGAAGAAGTCTGAAATGGAATATGAACATTAGCTAAGACTGAGAGTGCTGAACGGAGCCAGAAGCATGCAGGTAAACCTTCTGAAAGGCAGACGCTTCCTAGCGGAGGGCTCATGATCAGGCTTCTCTCTGAAGAGCCTCAAGCAGCCAAACTGTGCAGACCACTCCTAACTGGCTCACTTCATTTCTCCAGGGAACAAGGGGATTCTCATAAAGATATTTTGAACTTCCACATGAAGAAAAGTCCAAGGCTCCCTGGTCTGGTAACATTATCCACAATGGGCTCTGAACCCACATATGTGTGTCAGATCCCTTCACTGGGCCCCATCACTGAGCTCCCATTGACAGTTTTCTGTCTCTTCTACTGACTAGGAACAAGGCTTTTTTAAGCTTCTCATTTGATTAATAATTAAGTAAATATTAGAGTGTAGAGTTGCCTCTCTCGTGCATCATCCTCTTAGCCTTCTGCATCACAACAGCTGGCTACTTTATCTCCCTTGCATTTGTCTCTTATGTCTTCACATAGCATCCATAGCATCTCCTTCCTAGTGATCATTGCTTCTGCACATAATTCACTCTTTTCCTTCTCTTAAATTTCTCATGGAATAGCATGTTTTAAAAGGTCTTTCAGTTCTCCTTCCTTTTGTTTGTTCCTTCCATGAGCAATCTGAGTATTACTAATCATTTGGTTAGGGGGGAGGGTTCTTGTTTGTGTGATTATCTGAGACAGGGACTCTTGTAGCCCAAACTGCCCTCAAACCCTCAAGAATTACCTTGAACTTCTGATCCCCTTGACTCCACCTCCCAACTTCTGGGATTATAGGATTATGATGCAATGCCTGGTTTATGAGGTGCTGGGGATGGAATCCAACAGCTTGCGCATGCTAGGCAAACACTCCACCAAATGAGCTCCATGCACAGACCTACTACTACTGATATGTCAATCCCACCTCTACAGCAAGTTCTACATCTCCACTTTGCCAAGCCTTTATAAAAATCAAAGTTTTCTTCACCTTACAAAGCAGATGAATAGCATGGTATTGATTTTTTTAAAAGTCAGATTTTCTGGGGTCTTTTGTTATGGATTGACATGTGTACATAATCAATTACACTTAAATAAAGTCATGATGAATTGAAGATCTAGTTCTCATTTGGTCATGCCATGCCACGAGAAACTCATTATCACTATTAGAAAGCACGATTCCCATTACAGTGTAATCTTTAACTTTTAATTACATTATAAATATGTAATATTTAATTACATTTATTAATTACTTACGATTATTAATTGTGTAGGAGGAAGCAGGGATCAAGAGACAACTTACAAAAGACTGTTCTCTCCTTCCACCATGTGGATTCTAGGGATCAAACCTGGGTCATCAGGCTAGGCTTGGTAGCAAGTGCTTTTACCCACTGAGCCATCTCATCAGCCCCTTCCAAGAGTGTGATCTTCAAATGCCCTAAGATTGCAGCAGGCATGATAGTGAGGGCTTGTAATCCCAGAACCTGGAAGGCTATGGTAGGAAACTCACTAGTCTAATGCAAACCTTGCTTATATACCAAGACATCACCTTTTTTTTTTTTTTGAAAAGTTATGAACATTGCAAAAGGCAGACATTTAGTGGGGTGGCTCCATGTAAACCTATTTAAGGCCTAAAAAGCTTGGTAATGGCGATCCAGACTTCAATTTTGTACTGTGTTCTTGCATTAACTCTTATGTACAGCTGCTGTTTGAATCTTAGATGGTCTTTTAATAAAAAAAAAAAATTAAAAAAAAACACCTCAGAGCCAGATATCAGGGTGAAAGCTGAAAGATCAGAGAAACAGAACAGCCAGCCACTACTTCTTACCTCTAGGAAATCCTCAGCCTAAAGAGAGTGAGTTCCTGTGTCCTCACGCCTTATATACCTTTCTCTGCCCTGCCACATTACTTCCTGGGATTAAAGGTGTGTGTGCTTCTCAAGCAAAGGCATGAGATCTCAAGTGCTGGGATTAAAAGTGTGTGCCACCACTGTTTGACCTCTATGTCTAATCTAGTGGCTGGCTCTGTCCTCTGATGTTCAGGCAAGTTTATTAGGATACACAATATATCACCACATCCAGCTCTAACCCAGACACCTTTCCAATGCCCAAAAACTGTTGACTTTGCTACCTGTATAAGAAAGGACACAGACACAGTTCTATAAAGCTCAAATTCTTGGCTTTTCTCCTTTCAGGAACTAAATGGGTGCTGATGTCTGTTGAGATCATGTGACCCTGCTGACAAGCTCACTGAAGCTATTCCCATCATCTTGGTAGCTATAGCACCAAGCTTTAGGTGGTTAAGGTCTGCATTGGCTCTTTTGTATTCTGGATGAAGTAGGAGATAGGTGTAACACCCACCAATTTACACAGTGCCAGATACAGCTCCTACTGGTCTAATGTTGATAATTCCTTGGTATCTCCTATTTGAAATCCGTTAAATTCTGTTCAATTGACTTCCCTTTTTTAGACAGTTTATGAAGCTTTTGCCTCTCAGTAGAGTATTCCAAAGCTGCTTCATGTTGCTGTGGTGTTTATTTAGCAAAATTCTTCTCATCTGTTAAGGTAGGTTGTATGGCCTGCTGTCCCTCTTTTGAGTGAAAAAATGAGGCATTTGCTGAGTATTCTTCGCTTTCAGATACAAATGGTGCTAGGAGAGGGAAGAGTGGACTATGAGATGAGTTGGCTCAGGTATAAAGCAAAGTGGACATGGAGCAGGGCAGGTGGACATGGAGCAGGTGTTCTCAGAATTTGGTCTTTCTTCAGCAATGAACTTCTAATTGACTTAATTAGACCGTTTTCATCTTCAAAGCAAAATCAAGCAGAAGTGATGGAGATTTCTCATATTCCCTTTGTTCTCACACATGTATCACCTCCTCTCTTATCAACACCCCCATCTGAGTAGTGCGACTGTGACCACCATAGAAACTACATTGCCAAGATGCTTTCACTTGACATGGTATTTTTAAGGGCTTCATTTTACACACATAGCAAATAAAATGTGGAAGCTAAACAATAACTCTCCATAAAATGCCATAATCCATCATCTAAACCCCAAGTGATAGAGTATCTTCAACTTGCATCCTAGAAAAAGAAAAGTTAAAATTAAACAAAAGCTTGTAATAAAGAGTCCACCTTTTCTTCTCCTGACCAAAAGAAAGGATGAAAAGTCCTCCCCAAGAAAAATCCATATTTTCCCTCCTATTCTCCTCCCCTGATTTTCCTCCTCATGTTCATCTAGTAAATCTCACCATTATGTACAATATTTCCAAATACGGTCTTTGTTGAAATTTGGGGTGAGTGAACACCACTTTTTTCCAAACATTTCCCCATCTTCTGTGCATTCCCAGTAGATCATGTGTCTGAACCAGAAGGGAAAGGCACATTTAGCATAGTCTGTAAAAAGAAAGAGTCATCAAGAAGAGGAACACTTTCTTTTTTGCAGCACACACACACACACACACACACACACACACACACACACACACACTTCTCCACAGTCTTCCTTAATTCACCAATAGCTTATGAAAATTAGATTGGTACTACCCTGTAATCCACTTCCCCTTTCATGCTCTACTAGTAGTTTTCTTATAAAGACAATGGAGTCGAAACACCTCTAACACATCTTTGATTATATGTGATTTTGATGCTATCAGAAATTATGCATCTCAGAGACTGGGAAGACAGCTCAGTATGTAAAGTCCTCACTATGCAAGCATGAGGATCCAAGTTCAGATCCCTAGGACCCAAGTAAAAAGCCAGGCATAGTATTACACGCGTCTAACCTCAACACTGTGAAGGTTGAGAAAGGCAGATTCCCTCGGGCTTTCTGACCAGGCAGTCTCACCAAATTTACAAGCTCCTTGTTTAATGAGAGATCCTGTTTCAGAAATAAATAAATGATAATAATAAAGTAGAGAGTAATAGAAGGAGACACACGACACTGACCTCTGGCCTCCACACACTCACAGGTACACACCCACACATACTCACACATACAGCATATGCACTCACACACAACAACAACAAAGAAGTTGTGTATCTCTTAGTTTCACTTCAGAATTTGCTCTAGATTCTGAGTTCTTGCCTGTCACACCAAATGGTCCCCAAGACAAGGCATACCCTCCCATCTGTGGAATTTAGAGTCAAGACTCTTACCTGAGACATAACAGTACCTCCAGTAACCTTGAAAGGTCTTGTTCAAAGAACACCACTTGTGTTTTGCATTGAAATTGACACAGTCATAGAATATTTCATTTCTATACCAGAATGGAAAGACACAGTCACCATCTAAAAGAAAACAAAAATCCTTTATCTGTCCCTGAGTTTGTTAGTAGTGTTTTTTTTTTTCATTAATTCCTGCCCTAAATGAGACATCTGTATCAACATATCACACACACATACACACAAGGCTCAGGGAACATCTCATAAGGGGGATGGGAAGAATGTAAGGTCAGGAGGATGGGAGGGAGAGCTGTGGCATTCTGTCTTCTAGACATAGCATGGCCATTGCTCTCATGACCCCACTGCAGCTGTGGTGACCTGCCCAAGATCAAATCAACAAAATGACTCAATATTCCAGCATGCATCGCTAAGTAGACTCAGTGAGTGACCAAAAAAGAAAAAAATGGAGAGGACATAAAAGGAGGAAGGGGGTGTGAGAGAACATTAGGGGACTGGAACAGGGTGTTAGAGAAGGATGTGATCAAAATACATTGGTTTGGTTTGTTGTTTTTTTTCTTTTTCGAGACAGAGTTTCTCTGCATAACCCTGGCTGTCTTGGAACTCCCTCTGTAAACCAGGCTGGCCTCAGATTCACAAAGATCCACCTGCCTTTGCTTCCCAAGTGCTGGGATTAAAGGTGTGTGCCACCAATACCTGGCTTGCATTGTTTACATATGTCAAATTGTTGAAGAAAAAATATAAACTATTCTATGTAACACATTTTAATTTAAATAGAATTATATCACATTCCCCCTTCCTTTAAATGTATTAGATTTATATATTTTAAAAAACTGTTCTATTTTGAATTTTTAAGTGAGTTTTTCCAGGACTGAAGAGATGGCTCAGTGGTTAAGAGCATATACACAAGAGGATCCAGTTCAGTCCCCAGAACCCCAGTGTGGCAACTCATAATTCCTATAACTCAGGCTCTAGGGGAGGCCCTACACCTCTGGCCTCCACAGGCACCTGCACTCACATGAACATGCCCAAATACAGACACAGGCACATACATACTCAAAAACTAAAAGTAACTCTTAAAAAAAGATGAGTTTTTCCTCAGCATCCCTGACCTCTGAGATCAAAGCCACTATTAGAACTGTGGATGCCACTGTGAAAAAATGGGCAATTCCTGGATTCCATAAGCTTAAAAATATTACTTATTTGACTCTGCCTAGGTCAATGCCATGTTTTTATATTGAAACATCTATACTATGGTTAGGCAGCTGGTTATAAAATGAAGTGTTTTTCTACCTCAGTACTGTTTTGTTCACAATATCCCAAATTATTATTGGTTGATTTCCTATGTGAATTTTAAAATCTGGGATTCTCTATTAGAAAGGCAGAAATTTAAATTTTTAGTGCTGGTAAGAATTCATGGTGGTAGTAAATGATGTAAGCAGATGCAGATACACAGCCAAGCACTGGGCCCAGCTCAGGCGTCCAGTTGAAGAGAAGGAGGAGGGATTATATAAGCAAGAGGGGGGAGGTCAAGATCATGACAGGGAAACCCACAGAGACAGATGGCCCAAGGTTGTGGGAGCTCACGGACTCTGGACTGACAGCTAGGGAGCCTGTACGGGACCATCCGAGGCCCTCTACATGTGGTTGACAGCTCTGTAGCTTGGTCTGTTTGTGGGGCCCCTAGCAGTGGGACCAGGATCTTTCCCTGGTGCACAAGTTGGCTACTTGGGACCTATCTATCCCCTATGATGGGATGTCAGCACAGCCTTGATGCAGAGAGGAGCTTAGTCCTGCCTCAACTTGATATGCCATGAGTTGTTGACTCCCAGGGGAGGCCTTACCCTTTCTGAGGAGCGCATGCGTGGGATAGAACAGAGGTGCGGGAGGAAAAGGAAGAAGAGGGAGGGGAAAATGTGTGGCTAGTATGTAAAATAAATTCAAAAAATGAATAAAAATGAATTCATGGTGGCGTATTTCGTGTTTTGTGTCATATGCAATGTTTTATGAAAAAAGGGGGGCGAGAAAAAATTTACTAAAAGCAAAATCACAAATGTTCCCATTTTGATGGAATCAGAAGAGAACACAAAGGCCCTGGAGAGATGGCTCAGTGGTTAAGAGCACTGGATGCTCTTCCAGAGGACCTGGGTTCAGTTACCAGCACAAACATGGCTGCTCACAATCTTTTGTAACTTCAGTTCCAGGGGATTTGATACCCCCTTCTGGCCTCCCCATGCACTAGGCATGCATATGGTGAACAGACATACAGACAGGCAAAACACCCATACACATAAAATAAAAATAAAGATTAAAATTTTTAAGATAAAAAACATACATTAATAATGAAAATTTTCTGATCAACTTACCTTCTATCTCTGGCATTTTCATGATAGACTCTGAGAAATGAAAATTTAAGTAAAGTTCATTTTAATCGTAGGCTTTAAAACAGACTCTTCTAGCAAATGACATTAATAACTATGTTAGTCTGAGGAAAAGCAACATTGGCATGAGCTTATGTCAAGGATAGCGCACACAATCTGTTTTCAGACCTAGTTTTATCCACCTGAAATTATTTACTTTATTGAAATCCTACATATTTTTTCATTGCTAGGAACTGAACCCAGGGCCTTGCCCATGCAGGCAGGGGCTCTACCACTGAGCCACACCTGAAACCCCTCACTGGGGGATTCTAGGCAGACACTCTTCTAATCCTATGTGTTTCTTAATGACTTAATTCCAAAGTACATTTCATCATCAGTGTAAAAGAGAGTACTTCCTCTCTTATCAATGATTGATCGGCCTTTAACATTAATTATCCAATGGTAGGTAGCTCTTGCTTCACAAATTCTCTTTCATGATATCAAATAGATTAGAAGTCTCCTCTCCAATCAAGTTAACTAGTATTGTTGACAATAGATAGTCCTGTGTTTCTTGGGTTAGTTAGAATAACACTCCAATTAAGAATGCCATTCACAGCAGTTACTTCAGGAAATCACATGTGGTCAAAGTGCAGATAATAATCAACTATGGAGTGATCGGCCACAAATGGAACACTGTATCATACACCCTGCCCCTGAGGCTCAGGAGACATCATTGAAGAGAGGTAGAAAGATTGTAACAGCCAAAGAAGATGTAAGACCAGACCAAGACCTCTGTGTATACCAGCAGACACACACACATATAAAATTAAGAGTAAAGTAACTCCTTTTAAAAATAGAAAATTAAAATATCAATCAGTAAGGGAATTTGAAAGAAAAATATGCTTTATAGTACATTCAGCTGTTATCAAAAATGATCATTTGAATAGACACAGAAAAGTTCTCTTTCATTATTTTCTTAAGTATTCAGCCTTTGAGAAAAGAAAATGTCAGTTAGACATGTTCATAAATGACACATTTAATCACTTAAAAGTACCGATGGAAAATCGTTCTTTTTAATTTTTAAATATTTTTATTAATTTCATACATTGCATTTTGATCATCTATTCTCACTACAGAAGGTCCTTCCAGATTCACACCTCATTCCATACCTACCCAATGTTTTTTCCCTATATGCTATTGGGTGTGTGGCCATCCATTGGAACGTGGTCAACCTTACCTGAGTCCACACCTTTAAAGAGAACTAACTCTTCTCCCAGAAGCTATCAATTAGAAAATAGCTCCTCAGTGAGAGGTGGGACTTCCTGCCCACCACTCCTAATAACTTGTCATTATACCCAAAGATTAGTGCAGCACTCAGCTGTCATCAGAGAAGCTTCTTTCTGTAGTTGGTGGTACTTAACAGACACCCACAACTGATCAACATGCAGAGAACAAAACACTGTGGGATGTTCAACCTTAAATGGGACGTCTATACCACACTCCGGCCTCCTCAGAATCAGGGATCATTGTGAATGAGGAAGCAGAAATACTGTTAGATCCAGTTGAATTCATGGCAACTGTGACAGCATGCACAGGACTCATACAAGCTCAAGCCATACAAAAATCTTAAACTATTTTTAAAGAAACTGACACTGCCTTGTATATATACTTAAAGTAGTATTTCATCTTCTAAAAATATAGATGATCCAGTGACACCACTTGTTCACAACTTTCTTTTTACAAGTTCTAATAAACATTTCTAAAACAAACTTACCCATGGTTGGTGGATAATAATCTGAAAGACACAATGGGGAACAAGTATTTATTTCACTAAATTTAACACTTAAAATGAAAGAAACAGCCAGGCGGTGGTGGCGCACACCTTTAATCCCAGCACTCGGGAGGCAGAGCCAGGCGGATCTCTGTGAGTTCGAGGCTAGCCTGGACTACCAAGTGAGTTCCAGGAAAGGCGCAAAGCTACACAGAGAAACCCTGTCTCGAAAAAAAAAAAAAAAAAAGTTGTGATAGGGATGCTGAAGTGTAACTCTTCACAACTGATGGCTTCTGGTGGGTGTTGGGGTGGGGAAGGACTCAATTTTCTTTAAGCGGATGGCTATTAGGTGTTTGTTTTGATCATGCTTCAATGAGTTTATTGGCAACACAAGTTGGACTTGGTATTTTTTTCTTCTTTTTTTCTTTTTCTTCTTTAATTTTGAGGGAGATCACAGGGTAGAAAGGTGGACCTGGGAGGACTGGGAAGTAAATGTGATCAGGGTGCATTATGTGAAATCTTCAAATAATAAATAAAAATATTATGTTTTAAAAAAGAATGGAGCTTTAGTCTCTCAGGTCATTGTGTGAGTTTTCTTCTCACTCCTGAACTTCCAATCATTGCTGCAGGATCTGGACTCTATACAGCTGAGGCCCCAGAGTTTTTTTCTGAGCTGGTGGCTTTATAGCCACCAGTTGTAGACAGACTTTACTGGATCTGACAGATGGTATTCCAGCAGATTCATAGAACCCAAGGGATAACTGAAGTTTTGACTCCATCTAGTCACCTTAGTGCTAAGTGCCCAGCCTCACCTTTTGTCCCATTGGCACATAACCAAAAATAGTAATCCATTTGATAATCAACACTGTGTTTCACCAGCCCCCTAGATGAACTGTGGACAGTCCTCTAATACGAGTCACAGAAAACAGAACATCCCAACAGGCTTGGGAGAAAAGGAAGCAAAAACCAACCCACTTCAACAAGCATGTAAAACATGACAAAGCAACACAGAAAAAAAATTTAACATAACCTCTGCTTGTGACCCATTACCTACCAACCAACTCCAGTATAAGGCAATCCAAAGTTACAGAAATTGAAAAGAGAAATGCCTTTCAGGAAGAGTAATTTCGGGGTTCTTCCCTATGACTAACATTCAAAAATAAGCAGTAAGAGGATTGAAACAAGATAACATAGGATACTGAGTGTTCAGCCCTAAATGGGACATTCATATCAAGCCCCTCTCACTGGGGCTTAGGGAATGTTACAGAAAAGGAAGCAGAAGTGTAAGAGCCAAAGTGTGGGGAGAAGTGTGGTGAAATTCTGTCCTTTGGACATGGCATGGTTCTCATACTCATGAACTCACAGCATCTGTGAGTATCTTGCACAAGGTCAATAGAGCCAAAGCTCCAGCATCGAGGGGAGAGATGATCTCTCCAGGCCAATGCCTTACTGGGGAGCTATCAGCATTCAAAAACTTCTGGAGGAGAGCATCATTCTTTTTTGAGTGTATGGCTACTGATAGGATTCCTATGCTTCAGTAGATGGCTCACACCCATGCACACATGGGTGCAAGACTTAATGGGTTACTTTTTTAAAGGTTGAGAATGGGACATATTGGGGGAAGTTGAAGGGAGAAAGAAAAGTATATATATAGTTATATTTTATTGTATGTATGTATACATAAAATTCTTAAGAATAAAGAAAATTTTTAAACAAAAATAGAAGAAATAGAAAGCAAGAGAGGTTACCATTTGCCAGCTTTTGGTTATATATTTTATTCCCAAAATAATAATTTCAAACCTGGAACAAGATCACTCAAACCAGTCCTCTGTGAAGCATTTCCAACTCAATCACTTCTCTTCCTCCAGGCCATGATCATAAATGGTTTCAGCAAGTACCGCTCAAAGCCTATGTCTTCTGTCTTCCCACGTGCCTGTTCAATCATTGACTGAAGATATCTGTGACACTTAGTTTTTTCACCCCAAAGCCTACCATGCTATCACTGCCAAAATGCTAAGATTTGGTCATTTTCATTGTCTGACTTCTCTGAAAGCAGAATGCCTCTAACTTTTGATCATATTCTGTCCTCCTCGGACTGACTATGGTGGCAACATGATCACTACAGCCCACACTGACTACAGTCAGTATCACAAGCTTTCAGTATGTACTTTGGGGCTTAGACAAAAGCCCCATAGGCACTTGGCAGGTAAAGGAACCTACTACCAAGACAGGTCTGAGGACCTGAGTTAGATCCCTGGCACCCACAGAGTGGAAGGAGAGACTCAGCTGTCACAAGCTGTCCTCTGACCACCACATAGTAACTATGATAAGATACCCCCAAACCCCCCCCAAAAAAAGCATAAAACAAAATTGAGGTGACAACTGGAGAGATGTCTCAGTGGTGAAGAGCATTTATGGATCTTGCAGAGAGAAAACTTGGGTTCAGTTCTCAGGAGCCACATGCCAACTCATAACCACCTGTAATTCCAGTTTCGGGGCATCTCTTCCACCTTTTATAGTCACCAGGCATGCACATGATGCATTTATATGCACAGAGGCAAAATGCTCATTTAAAAAAAAGGCATTGATGGGGCCCCTTGTAACTCTAGGAAACTAATGTTCATGAGCTGTCTAAAGGAGGATCATGAATAAAGCAGCAGTTGGATGACTGAAACCAAAGCAGCACTGCATCATTCTAAGTACAGGCTAACATGCCCAGGATCCATGGGATCTCACTCTAGATACCAGAAATTGTAATAGTAATATATGGAGTGATAAGACAACAGTACCTTCAGAGGCCAGACATTGAAAGTGGAGAGGTCTTAGGAGCATCTTATCAACGTCCTAGCAGATGTACTGTGTAAAGTGTACATGGTAAAAGAGAGACCTGGGCCAGCGAGATGGCTCAGAGAAAAAAGTGCTTGCTCCCAAAGCCTGATGACCTGAGTTTGATCCCTGGAATCCATATGGTGGAGGGAGGAAACAGACTCCTGCAAGTTGTCCTTCGACTTACACATGCATACCATGACATGCAAGTGTGTATGCACATACACAAATAAATAAATATTATTTATAATTTTAAAAAAGACACACAGCTAAGGGAAAAAATGTTACCTTTCAATAATCGTAAAATAGGAATCCCAGTTGACACTAAAGTGGTCATACAATAAGAATCTCTTGTTCCTCTTTTTTTCTCTTTCATTTTTAAACACTTATCCACTCTGCTTTTTAACTATTTTAAAACATACTGAGGAGTACTTAAATGAGTACGTACTCTCAGCAACTCCATAAAAAGCAGTATGTCCAGCTCTGCATAATCCTCACAACACTAAGACATGAACCAGAATGAAGTCCCTTCATAAATAGCCATTTCAGAATCACTCAAAACATTACAACTTTGATAAAGAAATACAATAGTCTTTACAGAAGTAAGTTATATTCTTCTCATTCTATAGGCACTTAAAACATATCAAAATGAAGAAAAAAATTGTTCTGTGACATGACTTCTGACTCTCCCCCTTATTAGTTTAATCTTGCTAGTTTTGAGCCTTTTGGGAAGATCATGTTTTCTACACTTAAAAAAAAAAAAAAACTAGATGATAGAGAACTTGCCCTTTTATTACGACACACAAAATCAGGGTGGCCTCTCCCCTACAGGACATCTCAGAATTTGTTAGAAGTGGTGTTGATGTTCAGCTACTTCATCAAAAACTCACCCCCAGCCACACTCATTCCCATGCCTCACCTTTGTCTGGAAGACTGAACAGTCTGTAAAACAGGCAGATGGAAACCAATAGGATACCCACGGGCTGACCCATGTTCCTCCTGTCAGAAAATGGTTGATAAACCTAGCTTACTCTAAAGATCTTGAAGACCTGGGATCCAGTCACAGCCTCTGTCTCCTCCTTATTCCGTCATCTCTCCCCTCCTCCCTCCTCTTCCCACTCTTCCTTCTCTGAACAACTAAACTCAGTCTGCCACTTTTCCCTATCCCTCTCTACTGTAAATGCCAGTCTGGCTTCTCATCTCCTCCCTCCCCTCCTCTCTCTCCTTCCTCCATCTTTATTTCTCTCCACCTTCTTCTCATCCATTCCCACATCTTTTTTCGTTCCCAACTAATTCCATCTCTAGCTTCAGATAATCTTGTCTTCTATCACCTTCTCCCCTTAATCCCTTTGATTGCCTCTACTGTCCTCCCCCTCCTCCACTTCCCCTCCCTCTCCTCTTCATTCTCCTCCTTTGCCCCCTCTGCTGCTCACTGTTTCTCCATCTCCCCCCTGCTACTTTTCTTCCTCCATGTTGCCTCCCTCTCTCCACACTATGAAACTAAGCCTCTAGCCTTGCAATTGAATTAATACATAAAAAGAAACACTTTACATTAGTGGCACTAAGCATAAACAAATAAAAATGATGTTGGGGAAATTCAAGATGTTCCCATGAAAATAATCACCCAGATCACATGGAGAGTCATTCATGGGTCTAAAGATACCTTAATCCAGCTTCATAAGCCAGAGTTGAGGAATACATTATAGAGACCCAGGGACTCTTCTTGATTCATAGGACCCTTTAGAGAATTAATAGATTGGTAGATGAGGGGCTGGTTAGCTCCCTAAATAGCATTGCTTTCATACAGTACAAAGTGTTTACTGAAATGTGTTTACCTCCAAAGGAACCAGGAGCACTTTTCAGTGAGGCTACTTTACTTCATCCTCTGGGAAACTCCACAGATCCTCTGTCCTGTGCCATCTGAAGTCACCACTTGGGGCACTGGGAACATCATGACCCAGGCAGTGCCATCCACCTGCCAGTGAAGGGCGAGTCTGTAGGCAGAATCCTGACACTGGAAGGAGCAATGCGCAGAGTCTGGGTTGTCTTGTAGGGAGCATTGTTGCCCTTCTATCCAGGAGGGTGGCAGTCCCCTGCGCCTGTGAGATCGTGATGCTGTAAAGATGCCCAGGGGACTCTGCTCTGAACTCCTAGCTCCTATGAGTTCAGTTTCTAATGAAATATAAAGAACTCTGCCAAAACATAAGTGCCAGAAAGTCGTGGCTGGAGTCTGACAGT